TGACTCCAAACAAGTTATAAGAGTCACTCTTTATTACTAGTATTAATGGAATTGAATTTGGCTCTCCTTGCATGTGCCATTTGGAATAGTTTATTTTTCACATGAGGTTTGGCAGGGATTTCTCAAAAATAATTTTCCCCCAAAAGCCAGCCTGTAAATTTCAAAATCTCTCTGCTTAGTTTGAACAGCTCTTTAGAATACACCCCTATCTGAAACCTACATTATACAGAGATAAGTAGTGACCATAAAAAGTTCTTGATTGCTAAGTTAACCATACTGCCTAATAAAATGTTTCACATACTCTCTTAATATTTTAATAACATATACACAAATACTTCTGATATATGGTTTTCAAAGCAGCTATACTCTAAGTAAGTTATTGTATCTTTTTTTTTTTTTAAATTCAATGTTTTCTACTAATAGTCTGTGGGTTCAGAAAGTCTGGAATTCACAGCAGTTTCTGCTATATGGTTTCACATAGTACATAAAATTGTCAGCTTCTCCCATTGCGCTAGAAGACAGGAATGTTATTATTCTAGAAGTTGGAATTTTGGTTTCTAACCATGGTCCAACACAAACGTCTGTGCATTTTGGGAACCTACCCTATTTGAAATGCAACATCCTGAACCTGGAATTAATTGATCATGAAAAGTACAAACAGCTCCTTATTCATCCTGAAGCAAGCGTAGAACCCTTTGACACATTATGGAAAAATAATGCAGTTCTTAACGCTCCTTTTTTTGTTCTGGTTGATTTTTAGGCTTGGATCCCTGCCAGGCACACAATAAAGTACTTGGCCTTTAACACAGACAGGCATGATTCTTTTTTCATACTCTCAACTGGGAACTGACAAAACTCAGTACATTACAGATTTGTTTCAATTGAAATGTTCACAGCTAGTATCCAGAGACAGGTTTTCTTGTATCTTTAGGTTATTTATCAGCTAGCAAATCTGATCTGCAAATAAGAAAATGGCTTTTAGAACCACTTAACATTAAAGTTCAGTACAGTGAAGCCGATGTGGTCACTCACAGGTGGAAGAACTATTTGCAATGTGGCTGGTGTTACACGCACTCTTTGAGCATACATTAAAAAAAGATAAAGTTTCAAGGATTTACTGCCACCCTGCAGGGAAGAATTGATGTTTTAAGTAACTGGATTTGTACAAAGTCTGTAAGACAATCCAAGTAAATCCTCAAATAGATGATTAATTCCTCATTATTTAAATGTCCCTAAATACAAGTGCAGATGCTAACTTCACGGCTTTAGCTTGACAGCTCCTTCTCTATTTCTCATGATCTGTTATTAGTCTGTGACTTTAAAGCCCTAAAAAAGAGTGCCCCATGAAAAAGCCCTCCAACTCCTAGGGAGGCTGTCTGAGCTTATTGCTTACATAGTTCTTTCAGATTCTGACTGATGCTGCAGCGTACGATAATACTACATAAACACACTACGCCTCTTTCTGTAGACCCGGCTTAGGTTTGTATAGGGTATGTTCATACGCACTTTCACTACCTGATGTCCCACTAAGACTTGAGTACATACGCATATGCCTAAACTCTGTCTTGCGCTGATACTTCCCAATACACCGTAGCTGTCAGAAAATTTTAGGGTAATCTCACATTACACTGAAAACGACGGGCATTCATTTTCCTAGACAATATTTACACTTATCATCAACCTGTCCTTTGGTTAACTAGCTGAGGTTTACTTTAGACCTTGTGATCCACCCTACAGAATTTGACTTATCATTTATCCTAGTTATAAACCTGAAAGGGGTCGGTGGGGGCGGGGAGGAGTCCAAAGCATGCAAAACTCAACAACAAACCAAAGCACAAAGGAGCTGGAAAAGAATTTCAAAGGATCTGGCTGTATAGCACAGACAGTGCTATATACATGTGTCTGTTTATGGAGACACACTAAACTGAATTATTCAGTTACTTACAAAAAGAAAAAGAACAGACTGTGGGAAGGGAGAGCAGAATGAAGGCGCAAGAGAGCAAGAAATTCATCCAGCAACAGATGAGAAGAACAGAGGAGAAATGGAAAATGGATGCAGGGGGGAGGAATGGATGATGAGAGAATAGCAGGCCTATTTAAAATGAATTTTTGACCTTATTTTTAAAACATTTATGGATCCCAATTGCCTGTCATGAGATCATTTTCCCTTACAATGCTAGCTTTTCAGCCGGCTCTGCACTTTAACTTGATTTATCCCGCTTTAAAAAAAAGTAGATTGTTAGAAATACCCCTTCTATTAGAAATTCTGTCCCATTACAGTGTCAGCTAAAGGCCACTTGTCAATGTCAGCTTTATCAGATAGAAATTTGCCTCATGAGTTCTCAGATACTTTTTTGGAGGACAAGACCCAGGGTCCATTTCTGAGGCTGTTGATTTGCGATGGGATAGTGTCTTCTCAAATTATCCTCTGTTATTTCCCAACTTATCTGCATGTTTCATGAGATGGTGGGAAGTGATTACAGCAGCTGCTGTACATTAGAAAGACATCTTATAGGAAAGCTGGCTTAGGTAAAACAGCTGACTGAGAAAAGCATAGAAAGAACTAATCGAGTATTAAAAATACATAAGGAGACCCAGCATCTCCTTTCCAGCTGCAACTTCCCTCATGCCACAACATCCTGTGGGAAGGAAGAAAACTTACACCAGAAGGTTCTCCTCCTCCTCAGCTGTCTTTCGACTCTTTAAAGACAGACCTGACATCCTGAAGATGAGAGTAAATTTTTATTTATTTACAATTATGTAATTAGTCAACGGCATGTCTCTTCACTGACAAGTAAAGGTGGAAAAAATCAGCTGTTGTTCAATCTGTGTTACTCCAGTACTGCTGAGGGTCAGCAGCCTGAGGTAGGAAAGACTGCATCGCTTATAAAATATCTCGAGGACTTTCCTGGCAAGATGCTTTGGAGACACTTGTTTTCTTTTTAATATTTTGATTCTATTTTTGTTTCTTCTTTTACATCTGAATGGGCTGATGTAACATCTATATTTTAAGTGTAAAACACATGTCAGAGTAGAAATTGCAGCCAGGAGTTGAAAGAGAGCAAGCTGGGGCCACAGTATTTTCCAGACTGAAAGACAGTGCCTATGAAAGCAAGGCTGGATGGATCAATGGATGATATTGTTGCAGTAAAGAGACCAGAAGTCTTTGAAATTTGTAAACTACTTCAACAAGAGGAACTGTTGCAGCAACAAACTTCAGAGTATTAAAGCCCTCAAGGTAAACTCTGTTTTTTGAGAGGACTGCCATTCCTCACAACAAAAACATTTAAAAATACTCTGCATTGGAAGGACAAAAAGAAACAATCCTGGTGCCACTATTATTAATCAGTTCAAGATTGAGATACTTAAAGCTCCCTTTCAGGTGCTCTGATTAAGGACAACTTGCCTCACAGGAAAAGCAAAGCTTTGGAAATCAGTAATCTCTGGGCATTATACCTAATAGGAAAGGCTTAAAAAAGATTACCTAGAAGAAACCTTTGTGAATCTTGGGAAACTACACTGGACCATAAATCTCAACCTCCTCGGAGGATTAATAAAGCTTTATCAGTTTCAGATAAGAAGTAAAAATCCTCAGGCTGCTGAAGAGGTACCACTGGCCCAGTCTGGGGCCTCTGTCAGGACACTCAACATGCCATACAATTGCAAAAGAAAGACACATTTGATGCATATTCTCATTTTAGTTTACAAAAGCTATTCAGAACAAGAATGGCAGCTACACAGATTCCCAGATTTGGGTCACAAAATTTAAGGCAGTAGATTAAAGCTAACTGTTCTATGGAAAGAATTATTTTGCTGAAGGTGACACTTCTGGTAACTGAATCAGAATAATATAAACAACAACATTTTTGGGGTTAATGAACAAATTATATCTGATAATTTATGTAAAAACACCCCTTTTAACTCTATCTCTCTGTGACTGCAATAAAGCCTAGTCTCGCATAGGATTTTTTTGGACTGCAACCCCAATCATTGAAGATTTCACTTCAGCATTCACAATGATAGTTTGGAGGACATTAAAGCTAACAGTGTATAGTTCAAATTTCAGGTGTGTTTAGATTCTTAAGATTTTAACATAATTCTGTCTCTTTTTAAACTAAAATTTCAAATCTAGCATAAATAGCATCTGATCAAAGTTACATTTTTGAATGCTGGTTGATTATAATTACTTCTAAAGAGATAGAGTCCAACTCTGAAACCTGCTCAGGTGGAGCTCTTGAGTGCCGCTGTTGTGATCCCATAGACTATAGCTGTTGCACATACTTAATGCATTCCAAAATCCATCACTCTTGGTTTAATCTCTGGTTCTACCATAGGTTACTCATCAGTAGTGCAGTAGATAATACATCTCTGTGTAGTGTGACTCCTAGATGTAAAATAGGAAATGTCTGTAACATTTCTACAGTGTTGGTAGTGTATTTTAAGATTCTTTGATGGGAGAAAAGCAAATCATTCCATTTTTCGCTTTATAAAAGGATACTTTTTATGCTGAGGATACTTTAATACTGAGGATGCATCATGAGCAGATTGCTACTCTCCAGCGTGCAGAAGGAAGGGCAGGAGCAGACATGCCTCTGCTTTCTCCCTCTCACTTTGCAGCTAAGCAGAGTGAGAGTCTGCTCTGCTAACGCTCTCCTTAACCCAGGGAATCACTGGATGAACTGCCAGAGCACCATAAACCCTGCTGAAAAGCCTTGGTACTACCACACATGACAAAGTTTGGCAACAATTGTGTATCTTGGGCCTAAAGAGAGGAAACCTGGGCCTAAATCAAACACAGTGAACAGTCAAGTTATTTTTAGCCAAGTTTTCGTGTTATTAATGTTTTCTTTGGTGGGCTGGCGTTAAGGATTTCTCTGTTTCTACAAAGCCCCCACATTCATTTTAAGCTGACACAGGATTTCTGGAAAACACAAACAAATCAGCCCCTTCTGCTAACCCTGAAGGCTACAAAAGCACTTTACATTATATTGCGGACCTACCCAACGCTGGTCATAATCAGACAGCTGTGTTCTTCCTTCGTCGTCCTCATAGAAAGGTAAGCCTTCGCGCCTGGCCTGATGGTACTCCTTCCGTAACTTCTGGATACGATCAGCATTCCCACCACCTGCACAGCCACTGAGAAAAATAAAAAATACTAAATAAACTCATATGTACACACTTATCTAACACCAGGTACCCACATGAGCATAGGCACAGAACTGCCACACCTGAGACAAATGGATTGTGAGCGTTTGATTCTCCTGACTTGCATAGTGCCCACTGGCCCATATCACCCTTATTTTTGCTTTCTCATATTAATAAAGCTGCTAATTGTGAACCTGATCCCCATTTTTAAAAAAGGCTGTCCCTGTCCAAAGAACTTAACAATTGCAGTACAAGACAAGAGACAACAGATGGATGCAGACAGATGGGGGAGCACAAGGAAACTTTTAACATTCCTATGAGCAGCTATAAATGGCTATCATATTTTAATAATAATAATGATGATGATGATAAGCTGCCAGAAAAATGTTTCCCTTTGCTCCCACGCTAAATGTGGAATTTCCCTAAAATTACATTTGTTCAAGGTGAAGAATAGACTATATTCACAGAGAAGCACAGAAAGAAGTTTTATCTCATAAAAAACAATCTCCTTCCCAATTATAGAAGGAACTAAAACATCACCCATGAAAATACAGGGGAGGCAAGAGAGATGGGAAAGCATGCTATTAAATCTTGACACCATTTTTTTAAAGTGGTAATTAAACAGTAAACCACTAGGTAATCCACAAAGGCTCACTTGTATGCGGAACTGCATACACTGCAAACTGCCAGGGTAAAGCTAGTGGCGTTGCTTAGTTTTTCAAGTTAAACACATGCCTGTCTTTGTGGATTTTGACCCTGGTGAGCCTTCCAAAACCTTACAGCTGGACTTGCACAACTGTGGAAGCTCAAGCTATACCTGGAAGGATTAAAAAAGAAAAAAAAAAAATCCTGAAAATGTCCAAGAACTAAAAAAAAATACAGCCACATTGAAAATGAGTAAATTAAAGATTTCCCGCAGCTATTTCCAACCCTGTTCTAGTCAGCACTGGGGTGAATACTGACTGTATGGCTTGGTAGCATTTACTGGCATCCATAGGGAATTGTTGTAGAATGTATTTGTGACCACTCCTAACCTCAGACCATTGTTATTGCAGCACATCATCATATACTCTCTTAATCTGCAACCTTACCTCTGCCTCACCACAGTGGGCTATGGAGATACAGATTTATTCACATAAGCACAGACTCTGTGGAGCATCTTGTCACACTGCACTCCACTATAAGTATGCCAGAATCTAGGGAAGCCTTTTACAGGATTTGCATAGCAAACTGAATTTGGAGAGCACATACAAAAGATTGGACATAAACCTATCAGTTTGAGAATAAGTAGTTTCTAGTGTCTAATAGCAATCTAGATTAGTTGGAAACTAATCACCAATGAAGGGAAATTCCATGTAGGGTGCAAATGCAGCTGAATATGAGGCCAGGATTGGAAGTGTTTACTTGCAGCATCAATATGTTTCCATGGAAAATCAAACCCTTAAATTACTTGCCTTCCCTGGATCCTAAGTTATCCAGCCCCTTTACTCTACAAAGTCCCAGAGGCTTCAAGCTTCTCTGGCTGACTTGCCGAACTCTTCCAGAGCATACAAAATTTTTTCGTGATCTGCCAAGGCAGTGCAGAAAGCTTGCACAAACTCTGTGGACTATTGAGAAAAAAAAAAGTACATTCCCTTTTCCCCTTGACTCCTTGCACAGATAAATGCCTCTGTTCCTTGCATGAATTCTTGTCAAATAGTGGAGAACAATTTTCTGTTTGCAAAACACTGGAATTGAAGACTAGCTAATGGAGGCTATCACTTAGAACAGTGAAGCTTGGTCCACAGCTCATGAGCAATACAATACCTGTGAAATCCCCTGACTTTACTTGTGAGTGCAGATAAAGCGTTTAATTAGGGCTGCTAACATACAGATAAGGCCCAAAGTGTTGTCCCTGTTGCTTTGCCAACATCATTGCTCAGAGCAGCACTAGCTAAAAGAGAGAAATGCTGAAATACAGGCAATGGCTCTAGTTTGATTCCGGCCGATCTGGCGCCCTGCAGCTCTCTGCAAACTGCATTAGCACCTGCCATCAGTGGCCTAATGGCCACGTAACCCCCTAACGGCCGCCTTCTACTTCCAGGTATTTTGGCTGAAGAGGTAATCGGAAAATACCATAAAGGTTTTCTTTTCCTTTTTAAAATGAAATCTGAGATATATATTGTAAGAGGCAGTGACAGCAGCCTGTGCTTCATTTACTGCAGATCTCCTGTAGGTGAACTTCCTTCTGCTTAAACCCATCTAGCCAGCAAGTGGAAGGAGGTGCTGCAGAGATCAAGCTGATTATATGTATTAAAAGACTGGGCCTGACAGCTTTTTCTTTGGCAAACCTCTGCCACACCATATTAAAGTACAAACCCTAACCATGAGAATGAGTAGGAACATTTGAATGAAAGATAGCAGCACATGGGAAACTATCCATCTGGATTAGTGTGAAAACACAAGCATAATCTCTGTGGAAACAAGCAGCTCCATGAAGTCTGATTTCCTGTGCTGCTCTCCTGTGGGTTCTCTGGTGTCCGGTAATGGGACTGAGTTCACACCGCAGCGTTTCTCCCTAGCAAGGGCATTCGCCTGGGCTTCCCTAGCAGGCTGCTTATTTTCGTGAAACTCATTGATCCAGTATCTTTTGAACATCGAATCACCTGTCAAGTCTGGTCAAAAATGGTCAGAAGGTTCAGAATTTGTTAGAAAGGTGGGGGGAACAGGTTGGAAGATCCAGTACATCACCTTCATTTTTTCAGGAAACAGTTGAAGCGCCACAGCAATTTTTTTTTTTCCCCTCCATCACTGTTTATAGGCACAAATGTAAAAGCTTTTCAAAGAGCTGCATATCTAGTTTACCATGAAAGTTTTACCCACTCCTGAGTAATGTGAGATGAATATGATGCCCTGTGCAATGCTCATGAAACAGTTCTGAATTTAAAGTTGGCTCCTGACAATTATGTGAATATATGAACCACATTCAAACTCACCAGATGAATTCAATCAGCACTGTGCAAATATCGCATACATAATCTATTAGTTTACCCCAAAGAAACTGAAGCATTGAATTCAAACAGAATGAAGTCATCAGTAATAAAAAAAAGAAACTGATAAGGCAATATTAAAAAAAACAACACAATTTTCCAAGATTTGCAGAGAAGATTATACATTGACTGTAAACTATTCTCCCATCTGCCTATAAATACATAATTAAAAAATATTGGTTTGATCAGATAGCAGTTCTCAGACAGGGAAACAGCAGATGAATACCAGTTCAAATGTTTCGGATGCATGACTATTTATACTGAAAAAGAACCTGAACTTACAGAAGAAATATAAAAACAATACTCCAATCAAAGTCAATTTATATTAAGGAGACTTACTGAAGCTTCTCACCAAGCCTAGTAAGTACAGCAGACAGATTTCTTTTACAGTAGCTCTCCATTTAATGTAGTGCTCCCCCCTCGAGGAGATATAAATATTATAGTCCTCATCACATCTACAATTTTGTGCAGAACTCACTACCCTGACATGGCTCCCTGTGCTACATGTTCTTCAGAGACCTGCGCAACCACACATTAGCCATTCCCCTCCACCACCATGTATTCCCAGGTTCTAACATTTAATCTACCCATGGACTTCTGTGTTGTCATGACAAGACTGTAAAAGAACCATCCACTCTGCATTTTGTGATTGATTTCAGAACGATTTCCTAAAATTGTGCTACGTATAAGGAGACTGCTTCAGAAACAGCCGATACTGGGATAGAACCTGAACCTTTTTGGGGAAGTTTTAAAAAAGGTCTAAGTGGAGGAAAAAAAACTCTGAGAAACTTTACAAAGAGTTTAGCCAAGGCTCAGGTGCTGATTTCAAACAACAGAAACAAAACCTGTCCAAAATCCCACGCCACAAATAATCTTAAGAGAAGTTCAACAGTTCTTTGAATGAGCTGCACAGACTGTACGGATTTGTTTGGGGGGGAAAAAAAAATCTTATATGAACATTCAAAAGAGGAAAAAGCACATTCCTGTCAGCCATTCTGTAGTTTTGCTAGATCCAATCCTTAGAAACCAAAGCTTTCTTCTGGCCTGGGAGAAAGGAAAAAAAAAAAAGCCTGTGTGATCGTTCTAACCCATGCTGCTGGGGCTGTGCCACCAACTAGATAAACGACCGCCAGAAATCACCATCTTCTACCCTGTGCCTGTCAAGAGATCTGTCAGAACCTTGCCCACTGCGACTGTAAAGGGACCTGCTCCAAAACAGCCATTCAACCCATACAGTTGGAACAGGCATCCCAAAACAAAAAGGAAACCATAATTTGGCACAGACTTAGGTTCAAGCTATCTCTAATATTACGTAAAATATGGCTGTGAAATTTCATCTCTGAAGAGGTAGATGAACAAGCACCATAGCAATAACGCTATATACCCAATATGACAGACAAGTTATTTTTTTCAGAGAATCAAAACACCATCCTCAGTATTTAATACATGTGGCTCAGGTTTTGCACAATAAAATCTCCCCTCTGTTCTTCCTCTGAGTCACTAATCTGGATTTCAATCATTCAGGTTAAAAATGTCATTTTTTAAATGAGTGACTTCTTAGTGCAGCTCTCTAGATAATACAAAATTAAAAACAAGTGTTGCGTGTACAGAGTAAGATGAACCACTTAAAGCTGTATATAAACATACATTTAAAGAGGCAATAAACATTTTGTTTCCAGTGGTTTTCCTAAACACATTAATATTGCACAGAGCTTTTTTGCCAGCTACTTCTTTCAAACGCTGATTTCACCCAGCTGACTGTCAGCCTCTAAACAAACAACTGGTGCTTCCAAGATGGAAAAAAAAGAAAAGAAAAAAAAAAAGAAAACCAAAACTGATTCTTTTACTGAATTTTCCATTAACAAACAAATCCAAGACAAAACATGATTCACAGACGCAAGAGAATGCATAGTCTTCCATTCATAATCTGCTATAAAACAAAACTAATTTTATATACTGGAA